CATACATCCCTGTGGAAACCTACGGTGTCCCCTTCAGACCCCTGAGCCCCTCTGGCACCTCATACCCCCTCTCCTAGGCGTCATTTCATTCTGCCCATTTCTCAGATAAGAAAACTGAGGCTCAAGCCCTTTTGCCAGGGATCAGCCAGGGACAGAGCCCAGGGGAGGCCTGGGTCTCCAAGCTCCCAACCTTGGTTATCTCTACTGTCTAATGGGGCAGGGCATCTTTTTCTGGGGGTGTTGGTAAGAGGCGTGGACTCCTTGCAGTGGAAAGTGGGGTTTTTGCAAAAGGCACAGGGGTCTTTACCTCCCTCCCCTCTTCCCCTTCCTTCCCTCCTTTCCCTCTCCTCCTCCTCCTCCTCTCCCCTCTCATCCCTCCCCTTCATCTAGAGTTTGGGTGGGGGTGTCCAGAGTGCTTGTGGAGGGGTGGACACCTGTCCCTTTGAAGGGGATTCCTGGATTGCCTCTCCCATTTCAACCACAGCCCTTGACAGTGGCAGCGGGTAGCAGGGAGAAGTGGGGGAGGGAGGGCCTGCATGAGCCCTGGTGGGGAAGAGGTTCTGCCTCTTTTTCCTTTCCATGTCCATCCCCTTAGGTGCCCAGTCCCTGGCATCCCCCCTCTTCACCCACCACCAAGCAGAGGTGCCCAGTTCCTGCACCAGGTGTCCTCAGCATACAACTCCATACACAGCTCTGGTTTTTGTCCCTAGGACAATTTGTCCTGCTTAAGGGCAAAGCATCCCATCCACCTGCGGGGAGGGGTGGGGGTCCTCCCTGCCTCAGTTTCCTCCGCGCTGGACTCCACCATCCCTCAGGGATTCTGGGCTCCTGCCTCCCCATGGTGCCCAAGGAGGAGATGAGGCCCTTCTTTCAACCACCTCCATCAAACTTTGTATTATCTATATACATATTTTTTTTCTGATCAGTTACAAAAAATACTTTTCCTCTGGAGTTGCAATTTAAACAATATTTGAAGACGGCCGAAGCTATCGACCCAGCGACGGTGATGAATTAGAGACGGTAATTCGAATTCATCGACCGCCCCCACCCCCGCCGAGGAGCCCGCCCGCCCCTCCCCCAGCCCCTCTCCCATAATTACTGTTGGAGACGGCGCCAGGGGAGGGCTTCGACCAGGAGGCAGCTCCGAAGTGAGGGACTTGGAGGACCTTGGGGTGGGGGTGGGGTGAGGCTCCCAGCCCCATGGGAATGGACTTGGGGGCTGCAGGACTCCTAGACGACAGGGGTCCAGAATCTGACAGTGTCAGACCCAGAATTCGGCCCATCACACGCACATTTTACAGATGGGTAAACTGAGGCACGCAGAACAGGCAGTGGTGCCGGGACTCCGAGGTCTGCGATGGGATTTCTTGCGTGCTTTAGTGAAACAAAAAAACCATCCATTCCCCTCTCCCCGGTCCTACCCCATGGGGAAGGAGGAGGGGCTGTGGGAGCTCGGAGCACAGAGGGAGCCTCCAGCACCCAGAGTTTCTCTCCCCTCTCTGTCTCTCTCTCTCTCTCTTTTTTTTTTTTTTTTGGTCTCTCTGCCTCTCTTTTCGTCTCTCCTTCACCTCTGTTCCTTTCTGAGCTTCTTTTTCTCTCCTCCCCGTCTGTTTGTCCCGCTCCCGGTCTCTCCCTCCCCACTCTCTGGTTTTGTCTCTCGACTCCTCCCTCTCTCTCCATCTCCCCTTCTCTCCCTCCCTCTCCGTCTGCACCTGCTGGTCTTTCTCCCTCACTGTCCCCGTCTCCCTCCTGGCCCCGGCGCCCGGCGGGACACTCGGTACCTGCGGAAACGCGTGGCCGGCCCGAGCTGGGTAAGCGCGATGGGAGACCCAGGGCGCAAAGTTCTTGGAGGAGGCCTGGGGAGGCCCGGGGAGGCCCGCGGTGTTCGCGGAGCGGGGGATGGGGATGCGAGAGGAGAAAGGGCGGCGAGTTCTCTGCTGCGGGGTTGAAATGATGCAGAGGGGCAGAGTTCCCTTTCGAGCACCAGGGTTGGGGCGTCGCCGTGTTAGGTGGAGATGGGGACGCACCCGGCCATCTACCCCTAACTGCCGCGATTTGCCGCCACTTAACCGCTTTTCATTTGCGCAGCGACCGGAACTAAAGGCCTCCGCCTGAGCCTAATGACCCCGCGGCCCTCGCCCCCGCCACCTCTTACGTCCCAGGCGGAGTCCGGTGGTGTAGATGCGGCCCGCAGCGCACCTGAGACGCGACAGGTGCGCAGGGTTGACGGCGTGAACTCCGCGACCGCAGGTCTTTGCGGGGCCGCGCGGACGGCGTGGGCAGCGGACCCCGCAGAGGGGAGGCGGGCAGGGTGGTCCGGATTTATCATCCTCAACACCTCAGCGCCCTGCGGGAGGCTCCGAGATGCCAGGCGCTGCGCTCACCCCTCCGGTTCCCCCACGCACCCCTGAGGCGGCGACTGTTCTAACTCTCCCTCCGTCGACGGGAAACCCAGACTCCCACAGCTGAGACTGTTTGTCATTGTCACAAGTCAGGAAGGCGAGGCACAAACGCAGCCTGTTTCCCCATCTGCAACTCTGCCCGTGACAGGAAGGGGACGGCGGAGGCCTGGATGGCGCTGCGGCCGGCAGAAGCGAACACAGACCTGGGTGCAGGGTTGGGTGCAGGCGAAACAGGCGATGTCCATCAGGGCGAGTGCTCGGTGCTGCTGACCCGGCTGCGGGGAGCCCACCCCCCATGGGACTTCTTGCCCGCGGTTTGCCCCTCTGTGACGCTCTGGCTGATGTTTTCTGTGGCCCCCAAATCTGCAATTGCAGTACTGCTACTGGGTCATGTTAGTTACATAACGTGGTAGTGGGAAAAATGGAGAGTGGTGTGGGCTCCTGTTCCACCCACGGTGGACACAACGTCCCCCAAATACGTGCTGGAGAGGAGGCAGCAGGCGGTGGGTATCGAGATACGGAAGCCGTCCCTGCCTTACTGGTGTGATGGCAACCACTTGGTGTTTAAACGTCAGAGCTAGGCCCGGTGGGGTGGCTCAAGGCCTGTGTAATCCCAGCACTTTGGGAGGCAGAGGCGGGCAGATCACCTGAGGTCAGGAGTTCGAGACCAGCCTGGCCAACATGGTGAAACCCCGTCTCTGATAAAATTACAAAATAATAATAATGATAATAAATAAATAGCCAGGCGTGGTGGTGGGCGTCTGTAATCCCAGCTATTCAGGAGGCTGAGGTGGGAGAATTGCTTGAACCTGGGAGGCAAAGGTTGCAGTGAGCTGAGATCGCACCACTACACTACAGCCTGGGCGACAAGAGTGAAACTGCATCTCAATAAATGAATAAATAAATGGTCAGAGCTGTCAGAGGTGTGCCCTCTGCCACCTGAAGCCTCGCACTGCACCTTGAGGGCCGTGACTGTGTGCGGATGTGACTGCCTGTCGGTGGTGAGCACACAGGTGCCACTGTATGTGTCATGGGGAGGGGAGCGGGACAGACTGAAACCGTCCAGGTTCACGCGACCTCCCTGGGCATAAGGTTACCCTGCCACATGCGAAAGACTATTTATTTTCCTGTGCCCCAAAGCAGAAAAATCTAAGAATCCCCTAAGAGGTTCCAGCTAGCCACCTTGCTTGCTCTGCAGAAGGGCAAAACTGAGGCTGGCCTGTTGGTCCAGGTTCCCAGGGGGTTGTCTGGTCCTCCTGGGGCGGAGGGAGGGAATGGCTTGCTAGGGAGGAACAGGACAGGACCCCCGCTGTACTCTTTCCCCAGCCCCCCTGCCTGGACGGGCTGCCTGGGGGCACAGACGCAAACTCCCTCTGCCTCTTTGCTAGTGGGGCGCCTCCCAGAACCCCCGCCTTTCTCGCCCTTGTGCTCAGAGAAGCGATCGATCAGGCGCCAGCCGCCGCGGCTATTGTCCCTGTGGCCCGGGTGGGCAGCCCCCTCCCCAGCACCACCAGGGGAAGAAACCCCTACCTAGGCCAGGGGCTCTCCTGCACCCCTATACCCCCATCTAGGAAATGGGGGCCCGGCCGGGCTGCCTGTCAGAGGGCAGGTGTGGACTTAGCTGCTGTCAGCTGGGAGGGAGGAGGGAGGAGGGTCCCCAGGGGGCCGGTGGCTGAGTATGAGACAGAGACAGAGGCGGAGAGACAGGGAGAAGAGAGAATGAGCAGGAACCAGAGCAAAACGGAGAGCAAGAGAAAAACAGAGATACCAGTGTGTTCCGACCGAGAGAGGAGAGAAGTGGACATGAGAGACACAAAACCCCAAAGCCAGGCGGGCAGGGGTGCGCGCACCCGAGCCACCACCAAACTGCGCGGGGCGGGCGCCGGCTCGGGGTGTGAAGGCCTCCAGGCGGCGAGGGCCGAGGGTCCCCCGGGCCGCCCCTCCCCCGCCATTCTCGGGTGACCTTTGCCAGCGGCCGGAGGGGAGAGGGAGGGGGTATCGATCGCAGGGCCGAACTACAAAGAAGCGCGCGCTGGGGCAGGGGGGGATGAGCGCGGGCTCGGCCTCTGCTGCTGAGCTGCGGGCGCCCGCTGCACGGTCTCGGAGCTCTGTGGCCCGGGGCTGGGGCCTCAGTACCCCTCTCCACCCATTCTGGAGGAGGGGAGTGGCACCTTAGCGGACGGCAGCTCGTTCGGGGACACAGCTCCCCCCAACAGGCGCGCGCGCACGCACACACACACACACACACACACACACACGCACACACACAATGAGCTTTCCTGAAGGCTGCTTGGGGAGAGGCTCGGAGCCTCCCAGCAGTCTAACAAGGATTAGAGAACCCCTACGCGCTCCCGAAAGGGCAGGAGCAGCGACCAGGGTGTGGGGAGGCGGCACAATCCCTTTCTCCCTTCTGGTAACCGTACAAACGGGTAGCGGCGCGGATCGCAGTCTAGTTTCCTGAGAGGGAGTCCCGGGCTGCCGGGGCGCACGGGTGGGGCTTGGGTAGCTGGACCCGGACATCAGGCCGCCGCCCCGCTAGGTGCTCGGGAGTCCACAGCCGGCTCCCCCAGGGTCCGGTCGTGCGCGCCACGCTCCTACCTGCCAAGCGCAGCGCCGACATGCGCTGGAACTCTGGCTCCTGCAGCCACTTCCACATCCTGCGGAAGGTCTCGCGGCCGGATTTGAGCTTGCTCCACGGCTTGGGGTTGCGCAGCAGGTCAGAGAGCGTGCCCTGCGAGCGACACAGGATCCGCTGCGCGAAGATTGCCTGCGGGATGCTGTAGCGCTTCAGCTCCGCCGTGATGCGCTGCGCCACCTCCTTGGTGTTGATTTCCTCGGCCGCCGCGCCCGCGCTGGGGCCGCCGCCACCCCCGCCGGGGCCGCCGCCTCCCCCGTGCGGCCCGTGCGCCCCGGCCGCCGCCAGCCCGCCCAGCGGCGCCAGCAGCCCCGCGGCGCTCCCGCTGCCCGCTCCGCCGCTGCCTGTGCCACCGCCGCCTCCGGGCAGCCCGCGGGCCAGTGCGTCCTCGGCGCGTCCCAGCAGCGCGGCGTGAGGCTCGAAGGCGGCGGGCGGCAGCAGCTTGTCCCCGGCCAGGTGGCCTGGCGCGCCGTATGCGGCCAGCGGCGGAGGCGGAGGCGGCGGCGGGGGCTGCGGGGCGCCGTGCAGCGCGGGAGGCAGTGCGTTGGGCAGCGGCGACAGCGGCGACCCCATGGTGGGCAGCTCCTTGCCGTAGGGTCCGTAGAGGTGGCCCACGGAGGCGAGGGCCGCCCGTTCGTCGCGCATGAGGGTGAAGCTGCCGCTCACGCTGGCAGCCAGACGCTGCGGCGGGGGTGGCGGGGGCGGCGCGGCCGCCGGGTGCGGGTGCGCGTGGGGATGGCCGCCGTGCGCCCCGGCCACGGCCGCCGCGTGCTGGTGGAACTTGTCGGCTACGGCGGCGAGCGGCGGCAGGTGCTGCAGGGGCGTGAGCGTCGTGTAGGTGCCGCCCAGGCCCGGAGCCTCGCAGGCCATGCCCATTGCCGGGTGCAGCGGGCCCGCCAGTTCCCCGCGGAAGTCCGCGCCGCCGCCCGCGCTGCCCGCGCCGCCCGCGCCCCCGGCACCCCCACCGCCGCCGCCGCCGCCGCCGTCCAGCAGGCTCGCCATGCCGGCCACCAGGCCCGGGCGCCCGGGCGCCACCAGGCCGCGGTGCTGCGCCGCCGCCGAGCGCGCGTGGCCCGGGCTCAGCAGCTCGCCCGCCTGCGCGTGGGCCACGCTGTGCAGGCCCCCCAGGCTCTCCAGGCTCAGCTCCATGCTCGGCTGCCCTCCCGCCGCGCGCGCTCCTCAGCGCCGGCCCCTCGTGCTCAAGGCTGCTGCATGACTCCCGCCCGCTCCCCCGTGGCTGCGCGCGAGGTTGCCCGGCTGCGCGGCGCACGGCCCGGCCCGGCTGCGAGCGCGGCCACCAGGATGTGGCAGGGGAGCGGCCGCCGGCTCCCGGGCCCGGGTCTGACGTCAGCGCCCCCGCCCACCGGCTCCCGCCGCCGCTGCCTCCCGCAGCCTCGCTCTCCGCCCTCTCCGGCCCCCTCGAGCACCAGACAGGCAGAAGTCGGCCAGACTTGGGGCTTCGGCGTCCCTGGCCACTGCACCCGCCCGCGCCCCCCGGGGCAGGCCGTACCTGGGGGACAGCGGGCGGGGGTCCGAGGACAGACTCTGCCCTGGTGGGACTGTGAACCTCGACCCCGAGTCTCCGATTTCGCGTCTCTGCGTGATTCTCTCCAGGGTCCCAAATGTGTCTTTCCTGCCTGGCGCCCCCAAGTCCATCTCCAGGCAGTTTCTGGGAGTGTGGCTGGGACGGTCGCCTGTGATGCACTTGTCCCCTCTTCCCTACAGACCCCCAGGAGCTAGATCCCCGCTGCAAGCTCAGCTCCCCGCGACTCCCGCTCACACCTACGGAGTCACAGCCCCCTTCCCATGACCTCTTTGTGGGGGAGAAGGGAGGTCCTCAGGCTAGATCAGGGCCTCCGTGCGCCCCAGGGGTCAGCACCTGCCCATGTGTGGGCACCTGGGCCTCCGTTTCCCCAACTGTACAATGGGCTACCCAGCCTCAGGGTTGCCAAAGGCCCCTTCTAATTGCAGGGCCTTTTTACAGTGCGGCCGCCGGAGCTCCTGTCACCCTCCAGCCCACGGAGGCTGACTCTGGATCCCCTGTCTTCTGAGACGTCCCTGGTGCAAACTCCTCTCTGTCCCTGGGGCTTCTCCTCAGTGTGGGGGGAGGCAGGGGTCTCCTTTTTCTCACCACCTGGAGATGGCCAGATGAGGCCCAGGGGCCCCTGGGAACTGGGATAGATGGCGGGAGGGCTCCTATAATCAGAGAGACCCCCAGGGGACCAGATCTCTCCAGTGGGGTAAGGTCAGGGCTGGGGGTCTGGAGGGGCCAGACCAGAACCTAGAGGATGCCCTGTCTTGTGGGTGCAGAGTCCAAAAACCAGCCTCAACCCCTTCCTGCTTCCCCAGTGCCTCTGCCCCGCCCACTCCCCCCAACCCTTGTGCACTTGCTAGAGGATGAAAGGGATGGGTCAGGCATTCGGTTTGCAGGAGCCCCTAGTTACCCCCTTGTCAGTGGGTTGCATCAGGACTCAAAGCTGAAGGAAGAGGGGAGGACACAGTCAGGCCGTCACTTCCCCTTTGGTACAAACCTTTTGAGCAAGCCGAAACCCCAGCTTTGCACCTGCATCCAGATTCCCTGGCCCCTGTAGACGTGGCTACACATTGGAGATGCGATTTTCTGAAGCAAGACTAGGTTTGGCTCTGGAACAGGGTCCTTTCAGTGCCTCAGTTTCCCCTTCTCTGGTGTGGGAGGGGCTGCCCTCCAGCCTGCCCAGCTGGGGCTGGAGGCGGCTCTATGCTGACCACAACAGCCAGAGAGAGAGGGGGCCTGAATGATCTGGGCCCCCAGCCTGGAGTGGCCTGATCCAAGTCCTGGGGAGGGATGGGTTGAAGAGGACCCCTGTTAGTACTCGCTGCTTAGGGCTCAGCATTTAGTAAGTGCCTGCTGTTTACCCAGCATACTCTCCTCACTCAGCCCCAGAAAGGAGGAAGTCAAATCATAATTTTTCTGGGTGTCCCTGGCCCAAGGTGGGGAGTAGTGGCCCTAGAGCTCCCCGCTTCATTCCTACATCAGCCCAAGTGCTAACTCCCGCCCCCTGAAGTGTCGGTCCCTAAACTTTCCAGTTCCAGGGTTCAGGTATAATTTCTGGAGTTTACGTAATTACACCCATCTTCCAGGTGGGAAGAGAGGGGCAGGTCCGAACAGTTGCGTACCCCACTCCCTGTGCAGATGCTGAATCTGGGGGGAGGAAAGTGGCCGCACAGAGCCCCAGCCTGAGCTCCTCAATCTCACCCTCCAACAATCACAGATAATTAAAAATAATCGTGAGATCTAAAAATCAATCAGCCGCCATAAAACGCTAGCATCCCAGGCTCAAGGAAGGGCAGACCAGGTGGGGGCTGGGGGTCTCTATGGGTGGGAGGATACCAAGGTGGAAGGAAGTTCCCCCAAATCCCAACGTGGGGGAGCTCCTAAGGAGCTGGGATTATGCCGGCTTTCTTTTTAATATATTTTCTACAGCTTGATTATCGTGTTCATTTTAATAGCAGGAGTGTGTGGCTTTTCTAGCAGGGAAAGCATCCATTTTGAAAGAGAAGAGGAGGGTCAGGGACTCTGAGAGGAAGGGGGCCTCTCGCCTCTGCTGCCTCAGGACACCCTAAGGTGGCCACAGACCCGTTTCAAAGCTCCCTAGACTTGGAAGGGGGAGCCCAGCCTGGTGGACCTAACCCTGTCCAGATCTACGAAGCCCCTCACCCCTCTCTTAGGCTGATAGAGACTTGGACTCCCCCAGGGATGGGGATCTCACTCCTTGTAGGGGCTGTGGTCCCGCTGGGAGATTGAACAGAAATTTGCTGGCCCCAAGAGAGGGAGTGTGGTCCCCTGGAGCCCCCAGCCTGTTTCTTCCCATCAGCAGTGGCCTTTTAGTAATTAGTAAAATAGAATTGAGCCAGACTCGGGGCAGGCTGGCTGCCCAGGCCCAGATCGATCCTGGGTCATTAGGCAAATTGTGGGCAGGGAGAGGGGTGGGCTGGATGGGACAAGAAGTCCCTCTTCCCTGCCCCACAGGGACCTCAGCCACCTCGAGGAAGCTCTCTGGCCTCAGTATCCCCTCCAGGAAAATTAAAGTTTGACTCCCAGAGCCTGAGTCTGTGCCTGGGAGTGGGGGAGGGGGACCTCAGCAGGTGCTGGGCTGCCCCAGACCAACGCCCACCCTCTCTGTGCCTGGCCTGCCTCTGGGAGGAGTCAAAAAGGGCAGCCTGTGGTCCCGCCAGAGTCAGGGCTTGGAGAGTCCCGCGGGTGGAGGGGAGGATTGGGGGGCTCCACCCACGCCCCAGGGGCGCGTGCTCTCCATGGCTTCAACCTCCCTAAACCGACCCCCTAAGCTTGAACCCCCTCTTTAATCCTCCACCCCTCCCCCACTTTTGGACACACCACCTTCCCGGTTGTGATTGACTCTCCCATTGCAGCTAAAAATATCAAAGGCAGAGTTAGATACCTCAAGTTTTCCTTTCCTGGGGCTCCTGGGGCTCCCCCAGAACCCTCCACGGTGCGCCCCCAACTGACTTTCTGATTCGATTTGTCTGCCACCGAAATGAAAGCGTCAGGGCTCTGCGCACCCCTCCCTGCTTTTATTAAAGCGAGGTTTTACTAAATGATGGCAATGAATGCCCGCCCCACCCAAGCCCAGCCCCAGCCCTAGATCCGCCCTTCTCCCACTCCCGGCCCCCGAAACCTGCGGGCGCCCCAAATCCCGGCCTCCGGCGCCTAGTGTATGGCAGGAGTTCTCCCTCTGGACTCCAGCCGCCTTCGTTCGGGCGGGGTCCGGGGATTTTATTTAGATTTGGGGGGAGACTCTGGGCTTTTTCGGCCTGGCTGGGGTCCCGGCAGGGCTGAGCGCGCAGCTCCCGAAGGTTCCACGTTGGCCGTGGGGACGTCCTGAGCTCCCCACCCTGGGCGCGACTTTGGGGTTTCGCCCCTGGCGGGCCCGACGTCCCGGATTTCCTGCCCCCAGTTGCGGGGCGCCCGGGCAGCTCTGGCCCGCGGGTGGACGCTCCCGCGGGCTCTTCGGCGACAGCTGTGCCCGATCGATCCCCGCGCCCGCCCGGGCTCCGTTGCCCCCGCCGCGGCAAGAGGCTCCATCGAATCCTCATCGCTCTCGGGCCGCGCCGCCCGCCTCGCGCTCGGCAAACACTGCGCTTGTTTGCGCCGGGGCACCCGGGCTGGGCGGCCGCGTTTGGCCGGGGAGCGGAGGGGGTGGTCTCTGGGGCCCACTGTCCTCGTCCTCTCCCTCAGCAGCTTGGCCTCTGTCGTCCCGGAGTTCTGGGACACAATTAGAGGAGGGAATTCCATGCCCCCTTCTTGGGGCTCTGGCGGGCAGGCGCGGGAGACGCCGGGCGCAGGACTTCGGCCGCATCGCCCGGGCCGCGCCTCAGTTTCCCCATCTAGAAAGTAACACCCTGGGGCGGGGGCATCCGAGGGCGCCCGAGGGGAGGGGAAGGGTCCGGGCTTAGGCGGGAGATCTGGCTGCTCTCCTCTCGCGGCCTCCGCCTGCTTTGCTTCCTCTGCGCCCGGCCGGACCGGTGCAGGTCACAGAGCCGGGCTGGGGGCTGAGGTGCAGCGGGAGGGGTCTGGGGACAGGAACGCGGCCCCCCTCACAGGCCTGGACCCCTCCTCACTGGGCTCCGTTGGAATCGTCTCCCCGCAGCGTGCGCTCAGGAGAAAACCAGTTCGTTTGCTGCAGTTTGGGAAAATGGGGCTTGGCGGCGAGGGGCGCGGGCTGCAGTCCCCGGGAGGGTGCGCGGGAGGGGAACGGCCTGGATCAGGGGTTGGGGGCCTGGAGAACGCCCCCCTCCCGGGCTAGGCTGACAGCCTGGGGCCTGGACGCTGCAGGCTCGGACTTCCCCGACGCAACGAAACCCGCGTTGGGCGCCGCTCTCCGAAGGGGCCCAATCTTCGGCCCCGCGGCGGGGTTCGCGGCCACCGCAACTGAGCGGGATCCCGGAGCTGAGTTAAACCACCTGAGCGCCCTCCCTACCCTGCCGGAAGACAGGCTCCTTTGACCATTAAACATGTAAATATCTAGATTTAATTCTCTTCATACTCCTCCGGGATGGAGGCAACCCGCGGATCCTGGCGCGGGGCTCGGCGGCCCGCGGTGGGCTGGTTTGCGGAGGCCCCGGGCTAGGCGACCCGAGCAAGGCTGCAG